GCTGCTGCTTCTTGATGGTGGTTTTGGTGTACGATTTGCTGGAGTCCTGATGAGGATGCTCGATGTCAGTTGAAGTAGACGGTTCTTGTTGGGTAACATTAATAATTTTTTCGGTAATTCATTGAAATTTAAAATATTTTCAATTTCTGGTGGCTGGGTGTAACTTTCATTATTCAGTTTAAGGCTTTTTAAGGCTATGTTCCGTGATCTCAGCTTGTAATGATTTTTGTAGACTATGCATCCTTAGTCAGGGGAAATATAAAAACAAAAAACAAAATGAAATAAGCACTATGGGTTGACTCTTAAAATTAAAACTCAAAGGATTTCAACAACTATTCACCTCAAGGAATTATTTAGAACAGACTTTGCTTTTGCATTTAAGTGTAGGAATTCCACATCTCTCCTATCCTCTATTGAAGAGAGTTCCGCAATTACCTCCATTTTTTCAATATGCGTAGACTTCATTGCCCCTGTCATTATCCTTAGCCCCTGGTTTCGCAAGGTTGAGATTCCCTGTTGGTGCGAGGCAGCAGCGTTCCCCCACCTGGTAATTCCATACTCCATGGAAAGCCTAACGTATCCAGTATATAATGACCTTAATGTTACCATATCTGCTATACAGTATGTGTTACCCAGTTAGAGCCAGCTGCTTTCCTCATAAGGGCAGTTCTTGTTATTCCCTTACCAATAGATTATTCGATATGGGGTTTCCACTTAAGTCTTTGGTCAAACTTAATACCAAGGTAAGTGGGGATTTCATCCTTAGCTAGCTTTTCTTGATAAAGATTAATGTTAAGGGCAACCGGTATGTTTGTTGATAGGCTGAAATTTGAGTATTTAGTCTTGGTCCGGTTAATAGTCATGGACACTGATAGAGACCATCGAGGGTCACTTGCATTCGGTTCTTTGCTGTGTGGATGAAAGATGATCTGCTCCAAAGGGCGATATCGTCTGCGAACAGCGACGCTTTGACATTATTTGATAAGTCTTGAATAATGTCGTTTATAAATATTAGGAAAAGAAATGGGGAAAGTACTCCTCCTTGAGGCACACCGTTTTTTAATTTCCTTGCCTCTGTGTAACCCTGTCTTTCCGATCCTTGAGATAGTCCAATTGATACCCTTGTTGGCAGCTTTTAAGATTAAGCCTTTAGTCCATACCTTTATATACCACGTACATTGTTTACAAATTACACAATACAAATATGTGAACTGGCATATCTGAATTTATCTACAATGTCATATGCCAACCTGTGGCTTTTCTTTTTTGTAATTTTAAATCTAGATAATCCTGTAATTTAATTTATTCCTAATTATTTCTATTGTCAGACAATTGTCATTAAATTATACATAGTAGTTATTCTAAGGGAACTTAGTCCTAGAATAAAATGTATTTTTCTTCTACCTTACCGAATACCTTTTCTAGGTCGATCCAGACTGTCCTCTATTTCTTGGGCGATGTAAGCGAAATCTGCGGAAGCTTGATGTAGCCAGATGAGCCAGTTGCTCGCGAGTACCTCCAGTAGCTTCTCCATGCATGTAAGAAGGGTCAGGTCGAAAGCTGTTTGAGTCAGTTTTTCTTTTTCCTTCTTACAGTACTGGGATAATCATTTTTTCCTTCCAGGTATCAAGTACTTTTCCTTTCTTCCAGCTTGTATTGTAGAGCTTGAGAAGACACTTCTTGGTTCGAAGTCCTAGATTGATGAGAAACTCGTTGAAGATACCATCAACTCCAGAGCATTCTTCTGTTTCAGGCAACTGATAGCGTTGTTTAGTTCTTGTATTGTGAATGTTTCATTCAGCTCCTCTTTTCTAGATTTTGCAGCACGTAGGACTTCTTTTAATTTCTTTCTCACTCGTTTTTTCCTTGCAAGGCTTATTTTGACAGTTCCACTCCGGCATATTTGGTCATCTAAAATATCTCTATGATAAAATATCTCCTGCTTCTTTTCCGGAAATTAGCTTTCCATGTCTTTCCACAGCCAATGGGTCATTTGTGTTTGCATCACCAGATAGTGATTTTGCCAGTTTCCAAAGTTTTCTTCCCTCTCTGTCTGTTTAGGCAACTTTCCAATTGTATAAAAAAAGGCAAATAACTTTAATGAGTCCCACTTAGGCAACATTCGACATTATTTTGGCAGTGGACTGTATTTTTATTGAATGTGGTAAGTTATATGATCTATGTAAAGTTAAACTCACCCTTTTATGCTGGAATATAAATGTTACTTGGCCTTCGAAGGATGAATGGCGCCCTTCTCCATTCTGAGTGGTTCTGGTTTTCTCTCTGCTCTAGTGGCTGGCCTAAAGTGGGCCAAAAGAGGCTCATAGCTTTAGCGGCTTGACTCTTATCTTTTAGATCCTTATCAGATCTGTTTTTACGACTCACCGCAAAGCGGCACTTGGGTAAAAAATCACTTACACAAAACATATCCCTCACCGTTAAATATCTTATTTCACAAACAAAAAGAAAAAAAAAACTCATGGATTGGTAATTACTAGACAAGACACAAAAGAAAGGGAAATTTCTTGATTTACAATGAGAAATTATTCGAAATATACATTTGGAAAAATAAAAATGAGCCAGATCAAAGATAGGCTAATAATTACAACTCATTAAAATTAAAAATGGCTCTTCATTAAATTTAAGAAAATAGAAAAAATATACATATCAATAATAACTAGTCAAGGTTTCCTTGACTGAATCTTTTTGTAACCTATATTACTAGTTTTGAGTCTAACACCAGCAGTTTGAGAAATTCATTCAGTCTCTGAAAATGCATTTCCCCCATACCGGAGTAACCCATGTATGGTGCGATAGACATATAACACTGCCGTACAAATTTTTTTTGCGTGTATCTTCGATGAAAACTGTTTCTTTTGACTAATATTGGTGTAAGAAACTCAAATTTTCTGTTTGAATCCTTATATTAGCTACTGTTCAGTAGATACGTTAACCCAGTATCGAATACAAAAAATTAAGTTATTGGAAGTTACACGATCATTTCTTAGGCTTTAAAAGTGCTTTACTATTTGTGAAATTCTTTTACAACCCACAAAACATCAAATTACAACTTTTCTTGACAAGAACAACGCTGTTGTACAGTTTATTTAGGGCATTTCTTTTTTGCTTGACGACTATACTGGTATTCTGGCAAATCCCTCACAACGTTCCAACCGTAGTCTGCGAGCATTGAAGTATAAAGCTGACCTTGATATCTTCGTTCCATCGAGGATATATCTTGCGTGAAATCGCTCACCATGTTCGTCACTTAAAGATCCACGATTTTCGGGAAAGAAGTCCAAATAAGAGTGAAGAAAATGAAGTCCTGGTATTTGATGGATTTTAGAGGGGTTGGTAAGTTTACTTTATATGGATAGCATGGCCAATAGGGATAGAGGGAAGTAAATTGCAATTGTGCTACAGAACTGACTTGAGGGATAGCTTTGCTATGAACAGCCTCCATTCAGAAGGATTGTGATTGAGATTTAATGCTGTCATCAGACCAGGTACATCACAGCAGGTAACAAGGTTGTCATACTTATTGAAAAAGGGGATGAAGTATTTCTGACGATTTCTGTACATTATAATCTTTACATCAGGTTGTAAGAAGTTCCATTGCTTCAATCTTGAACACAAAAGTTCTGCTTTTTCTTTGGGAAGATCCAGGTCCCGAATCAAGACACTGAGTTCAGCCTGAGTAAGCGAGTGGGGTTTTCGTTGTTCTTGTTCGAAAGAAAAATCAGAATCATCTGATGGGGTTCCTACTATGGGATTTTCCTCTTCGTTATCCTCGTCCTCACTTAAGTCAGTGTTCAGAAGGCCTTGGAACAGACAATTTGTCCCCGTGTGGTATTGACCGTATAGCAAAAGGAATGTCAGGGTACTTCACTTCAGATTTCTTTTTTCGAGACATTCCGTGATGGAGAGGAAGGGTCATGCAAAAGTAGCAGCTGCCATTGTGATTAGTAGGCTCCCTCCACAATACGGGAACAGCAAAACGCATTGAACGACCTTCCACCATTTTCTTAAGGTACGCTAAATGTGATGCAGTCAATGTGCGGGGCCCGCGGTTTATCTCAGTCACCAACCTTCACCCCAAAATACTTGTGGTATGCTATCTTGATCATTTGAGTGATAGGACGTTTTTGACTTGCAAATATTTCTTCTCCACAAATGTAACAAAAGTTGTCAGGAGCATTCACACACTTCCTGGGCATAGTAACTTCATCAAAACTACTGGGCTATCACGACAAAATCGTTGAAAGAATGCCTGAAGCAAGAAAAATCACGTCAAGAGTAACTTGAAATGTAAACACGTCATATAACTATCAGCAAAATGATTCTGTAATTTACAGCTAATCGTTTCCCGTGATTCAATCCAGAAATCAATCCTATCAACCCAGGAGCATGAAATTTCCCCATATAAGTAACTAAATCATTGAAATTAGAGCTAGATTTTTATGAGGAAATTCGAATTTCTCATAACAGAAAACACGGAATGAGGCTGTTTTCAAGTGAGATACAATTTTAATGTAGAGCAGTGTAATCCTTATTCTGTTCCTCATTATTCATCTGAATATGGGTATCTCTCAAGTCAATGATTAAGAATTGAGCTTCCGTTATATGCTTTCAAAGATAATCTTCAAAAGTTGTAATAAGTTATGCTAGTTCTGATTTAATTTATCTAATTGATTATTTGTAGTTTCTTAGCTGTAAAAATAAATGTACTTTCCATTAAAAAAAGTTTTGTAATCTCACTTATTCCACTTTGAATTTAAAGCTAAAAATTGACTTGTGGGAATACTTTTGACTGCTACTGTAAATATATTCACCCAAAAATATAATTTAAAATGGTATTAATCATGATCTCATTTCTACTTCATTGCAAGTAAATAGAAAGTCGTTCAATGATGCAGTGAAGACGGAGAAAGACTTCGGAAAATTTTAATTGTTCTGCGAGAACAGTCATTGTAGAAGAAGGTTATGATTATACACTCTTGGTTAGAAGTTGTTTTGATTTTGTTGTTAGGTGGTTCATGTAAAGTAATAAAACTTTTCTTCATTATTATCAGAGATACTTCCCTTTTTTTAAAATTGATTTTAAGTTAACAATCATCATCGCCGAAAAAAAAGCTGATGTACCATTTATTATGTTTTAGATTATTGTCAGTTGTGGTACGCCGCAGGCGCACTAGTCTGCAATATTTTGATATAAGAAAAATTATTTGTTACTGTTTATCGTTAATCATTTAATAATTATGAGGAGGTGTTTATTCTGAAATGCAGATATGCTTGCAGCACAGTTTTTGAACGTAGTTTTAGAGGAGAATGATAAAACCGAAGGAGAACAGTGGGTATCTGTATAAATAAATGATTTTAACGTTTTACTTTGTTTTCGACCAATTACAATAATATTTCATACTGTGGATAGTATATATTTGAATTGGAAAATTTTTTTGTGATTTTTCTGACTTAGTAAGATTGTTTTAATTTGTTTAATTGATTAAACATTGGCTTAACAAGAACAATTTATTTTAAAACCATTTACATGCCACTCGAATCACTTCACATGTATATATAATGTTATAACTAGAAATTAAAGCCAATAACATGTTTATTTTCAAGTGAGAACTCCTCACTGAGCCTTGATAAGTTTTTAAATAACTTTGGAATGTTCTCTTATACAAGATATTGTAATATCTTGAACTGTTTTCATATAAATTCAAAACTATTTAAGTACCATCAAAATTTGTATATAGTGTATATAATATTCTACTATAATATAAATAATTGTAAATAGGTGTTTTTATTTTTAATGTTTCTTCCAGTTCAGATGAGCTCCATGAGAATAACAATAATATCAATATCAACTATATTCTTAGTCAGCTTGACATCAAATCTCAGCTGGCTAAGATCCTTATGTCGGAGTGTATAATTGAACCTTCAAAAATTGCTCAAAAGTAAGTTTTCAAAATAAAATTATTATTTATTATTGTTCAGTAAATAAGAAAAAAAATTATCTTGTAGTTACAAAAATTGACTGTTACTTTTCATAAATTTTGAGGTAACTGATAATGAGAGTGGATGGTTTATTCATCACTGATTTTGATCAAATTATTTTTATTGGCTTATGTTGAAAATAAATCATCATGTGATTAGTCATTACATCCAATTGCCAAAAAGTAGAGGTAGTAATTTACTAGTAGTGCTCCACTTTAATGGTGGACACAAGGTCTTATGACCACACTATAAATAAAAATCCATGAATGTCCGGAAACAGGCAGAGATGACAGAACTGTCTAGTAAGGCCTCAACTGGAAAGGAGCCGTTGGGGGTTTGTTATCCTTTTTAAGCAAGCAGAAGTCAAAAGCTGTGATTTAATTAAAACTAATTAAAGCCCCAATTTTTACTGGAAAGGAATAGTTGGGAGTTTGCGAAACGCATAAATCAGGAAATATATATACTTACTTACTGATGGGCTCTACAGTAGGAGGTGAACCTTTGCCTCCTTCAGGATCTTTTTCCAATCCTCTATATACTTCATTCTCCCCTCCAATTTACTACTCTCATCCTCTCTAAATCTTCTTCCAAACAACATTTCCTTAGTCGTCCTCTTTTCGTTTTTCCGGAAAATTCCTCCTTAATTATCTTTTTTGTGGCTGTCATGAGGCAGTCCTTCCTCGCCAGCTAATTCTTCTAGCCTTAATAAAGCGTACAATATCCTCATGCTTTAATAGTTCATCCAGCTCCTGATTTGTCCTTATCCTCCATTCTACTTGCATACATAGGAGACCAAAAATTTGTCTCACAAATTTTCTTTTGAAAATCTTTAATGCCTTTTGGTCAGCTATGTTCAGCGTCCTGGTTTCAGCTACATAGCACACAACTGGTCGGGCCAAGGATTTGTTCACTTTGAGTTTTTTGACTCTAGACAGGAGTGTTGATTTAAAAAGCTTTAACATATCAAAGTATGCTTTATTGCCTGCTATAATTCTTCCTCTTATTTCCAGGCTAATCAAGTTTTTGCTATTGGCTTGCACACCAAGATGAGTGTAAGTCTCCTCTGCTTCAAAAATGTGTTACTGGAAAACAAATCCTGACTTCCTTCTTGAATCCGAGGTCAAGACTACCATATATTTTGTTTTCTAGTCATATCATTCAGGTTCGGTGCCATTTTCTCATAAGTTTTTTATAAAATATTAGGCCATAGGTCACCAGATGTACACAGTTTTTACATCCTGTATTATTTTTTTATTCGACGTTTTGTCTTCAGGATTCATTTTCAAGATCCTGCAAACTAATTTTAATTCAGTTTTTATAGTTCAAAATACATCCTTATTAGACACATATTAATTTAACAACTATCAGTTATATAAATAGTCCAAATTCTATTTTATAAAAAAAATGTTCTCATCTTGCTGTCATGCACCGCTTCATAAAATTTCTGTCTGGCTCCTGAAGCCGAAACGTCAAATAAATAAATAATACAGGATGTAAAATCTTTGTACATTTGGTGACCTTTGGCCTAATATTTTATAAAAAATATACTTTGTTTTTGTGTTGTTAACTATCAATCAAAACTTCTTACATTCCAGAACCAATGTTGATAGAACCTCAACTATTGCCGCTTTGCTGCTATCTAGAATTGTAATGTCGTCGGCATATCCCATTATTTGTCTTGTTCGACATATTAAATTATCATCTGGCTTGATTCCTTCCTTTAACTGCATTATGTAGCGCCAAGTTAAATAGAATTACTGAGGGTGCATCTCCCTGCCTTACTCCAAAGTTAAATTAGAAGATTTTGATAACCTGATGGCCAATTAATACTTTAGCTTGTGTGTTCAGCATAGTCATTTCAATTAGGTGGATTAGTTTAAACGGGATGTTATATTCACGCAATACATTAAAAAGTTGAGTTCTTTTAATTCGGTCAAAGGCTTGTCTAAAATCTATAAACACTATGTGTACATCAATATTGTACTCATAACACTTTTCGAGCACTTGTCGAAAAATAAAAATTTGGTCTCTATTAGGCCGAAAACCACACTGGTAATCCATTATGATTCTTTCTGAATAAATTTTTAGTCTTTGCACCAGAAAGATGAATAAAATTTTATATAAAACATTTAAAAGGGTTATTCCCCAGTAGTTTTCACATACCAGTTTGTCACCTTTTTTTAATATTGGGAAAATTAAACCTGAGCCCCATTCCTTAGGTATTTCTTCATCAAGCCATATCCTCTGCATTAGATCATATAATCTCTGTTGGAAAAATCTCCGCTACACTTAATAATTTCTGCCGATAAACTGTCCTCTCCATGAGCTATTCTTTATTTTCTAATGCATCCTCAAAGGAAAGCGGTTCAATATCAGGATCGACTTACGTATCCGGCTCACAGGCATCATTGATGTTCTCATTGTCGTTTTCATTTTCACTGTTATTTAGGATCTCTCTAAAATAATTGGACCATCTATCCATCACTTACACACCCTATCCAAACAGTACGCCATCTTTGCTATGACAAACATTCATTTTAGGCTTAAAACTGTTTCTCATTTTCCTGACTGCTTGATAAAATTTTCTTTCTTCCCTATTATCCCGCTTTTCTTCCATTGTTTCAATCCATTTTCTCTTTTTCTTTTTACAGTTCTTATTAGCTTTTTCCTACTAATCGTCTATCTATCTCTGTTATTCTTGGTACCCCGCTGAAGCATCTTCATCCTGTCTGCATTCTTTTGTTCAATTGCATTTGCCCATTCGTCATCAAACCGTTCTGAAATTACCCTACTACTTGTCTCTCCCAAACTTGTTCTGCTCCCCCTTGCACTATTTCTTTTATAGCAGACCACTTATTTTCAATGTCTTCCTTTACATGACATTGCTGCAGTTTATCTGTCACCCCTTCCTTGAAACTTCTTTGATTCATCACATCTGGGTTTTCCATGTTTATTTTTTCCTTTCTACTCTGTGAGCTTTTTTACTTTCACTTACCTATATATGCAATATATAGTGAGGGTAAGTATTGCGGTCGTGAACATTTTTGAGTCTGAGTTTTCAATAGAAATACATGTTTTTAGGTCTTCTGAATCCAAATAACCAAGTCCCGTAAAATGGTCTGTGTCTGTATGTGTGTTTATGTTTGTTATCAGTCTAGCTCAAAAAACGAAAATTGGTATGAAAGTGAAATTGCATATTTAAGGTTTTTATAAGCTTTCGATGTTACAGCAGCATTTCCATCTAAATCGGCAAACTGTAAGTGGTGCTTTATATAATCGATTTAACACATTTTTACAATTTTCTCAAAAACGGTACTAACAATTTTGATTAAACTCAGTATATCAGTGTATTATTAAGCAGTTTTAAATATAAAATAGGTTTTATTCTCATTGATGTTCTCTATCAGAGCTCAAATGGCTAATTTTCAATATTGGCTACCTCTAAAGTACCTTTATTTTTTTTTATTTGAAATAATTAATCATTTCACATTAATCTTTGATAAAAAAAATAGTTCAATATAAAATATGAAAGAACTTGATAATTAACTAAGGAGGAATAAGAGATCATAATCGACAATAGTTGTAATAGAAGAATCAAAGGAATACGAGCTTGCCTGAACTCGCCCGAAATATTATAAGAGACTTTCATACGTAATATGAGCTTCACATAATACGGACTCCGACAATATTATGTTCATGTACATATACGTTTTCCTAAGTGCTATCGTTGGTAATATTTAATTGTATAGAATGCAGTATTATAAAAATCAAAATTTGTACGTATAACGGTGTTTAAACAAATAGAAATACCCACAATGAATTGTAAATAAATATAATTCATATAAATAAAATAAATAATTTTTAGTTTCACTTCCGCTTTGTCTGAAAATACTTATTTCTGCTAAGAAGAGGGTGGTAAGTAAAAATCGTGTGATATGCGCATCAGATTTTTAGCATTTGTAATCCTTTGCCTAAACAATGCTCTCACTAGAAAATGATCACTGTCACAGTTTTGCTCTCTGCATGCTCTAACATCAATTATGCTAGATGGATGTCTTGTGGCGATTAGTACGTGGTTCACACTTCCTCCAGGTGCTTTCCATGTGCCAAGATGTATACGTCTGTGCTGAAAACTTGTACTCTTAACTTTGGTGTCTCTCGATGCTTCAAATTCAGCCAAGTGGTACCCATTTTCATTTGTTATATCATGCATTGTAAGTTTTCCTGCCACATCCTTGATTTAATCCTCTTTCCCAATCTGAGCATTAAATCTCCTAGGATTACCACTAAATCATATCTAGGGGTTAAATCAAAGATTCTATACAATTTATCATAAAACTCATCTTTTTCTTGCTTTTATCCTCTGTGGGCGCATGCACGAAAATAAGAGTTATATTTCTAAATTTTCCCTTGAGCCTTGCATTGCAGATTCTATTGTCGATAGGTTCATAATCAATTAAGGAGCCTCTGAGTTTCTTACTTATTATAAATCCTGTTCCAAGGTGACCTTTCTCCTGATCCACTATAAATGAGAGAGTAGTCCCTTTTATCTATACGTCCTTGTCCCTTCCATCTTATTTCCTGTTTCGCAGCCACATCAATATTAAATTTCATTACTTCATCAGCAGTTTCTTTCATTTTTCCTGGTTGAAGCATGGTTCTTACGTTCCATGTAGCCATGGTCGAAGATTTCCTCCGGTTATTTGTTTTACTTTTCTTGTTTGGGTCGTTGCCATTATGTCTGTTAAGCGTTTCTTTGATCGTAGGTGTCGTAACTAGAAGTTTTTTACAAGATGGGGGTTGACCCCACGCTAAACCCTCATACCAGGAGAACCGGTGGCTTTGATTTGGGGTGCCCTTCCCTAGGAAGTTGCCTTCACTTTGGCTGTAGAGCTTTCCCTGCCCTTCTCCAGTAAACAATCTAACTATGTCTCAGGAAGCTGGCATTGACTCCGGTAGT